GGAGATATGTAGGCTTACCTAGTTCATGAGAAAATGAATTGTTTTCTAACTTGCAATGAATATGAAGGAAAAATATTTGCAAATGTAAATATTAAATAGCAAATCACTAAAATTTGTCAAATAAGATGATAGCTAGGATTTTTATATACGGTATATATTGCAGGTACAAGTTCTCTGAAATAACCTATTCATTCAATGTGTTCAAGTGCCTGCCCCCCCCCCCCCTTTCCGATACCAAGTCACAGTGCAGAGAACTCGATGAGTGTTCAGAGCATGAACAATTTGGCCCTTAGACCACTGTGCACTGGTTTAGAATGTATATACTTATATTGATATAATAACGGAATGAATATTTTGGAGATGGGGAAATAAAAAAAAATATGCATATTGTTGTTTTTTGTGTACATGATACTTATAATTATCATTCTGCTATCATTCTGCTCTACGTATGAAATGAGCAACCACCACAAGATTTTCAGGAAAAAATATTTATTAATCTATACGTATTTTCTACAGTTTTTTAACAGATTATGCATATTAAAGGTTCAGCAACAAACCATCAGATTAAAATTTATAAAATCTTTTAATATTTTAGGAAGGGGGGGGGGGGGGGGTATTGAAATGCATGTAGCTTAAAAAAGAATGTGATGACCCCACTTCATATTTTAACCATACGTCACTTATAATAATTGTTACAAAATATATTAATTTTAGGAAAATTCATTGGGCAATTTTTTGTCAAGACGTTGAAAACTGCTCTTGGGGTGAAAATATTATTGCAAATTTACAATGACTACTCCCCAAAGCAACAGTGGCATTAGTACATCTATCAATAGTTTCCGATACAACTTTTATTTTCGATGAATATAAAGCATATTATTTAATATCTGGTGAAAATTATTTAATTTGTTTCAGTTTTGATACCTGTATGGCATACTTAAAATTTCACTACATAAATATCAAAATATTGAAAAACGGTGGTTACCATGGCAACCATATCTTCCTTATAACCCTGATGACCATGGTTGAAATTTTCATATTATGATACCATTAACGTAAGGCAAATTATATGTAAAAATGAGAAAAATTCATAGAGCGGATTTTTTTCATGTACCCTTGCAATCTCTTCCTTAAATCTTTGATATTTTGCATACTATAGGGACTAGGGTCATCAAATCTTGTCAGTTGATGCATCTTAGGACCTCATATCATGTTGACTCAAAAGTAGGTCACAGTGGCCTACTTTTTGAATTTTACAGGCATTTGTTTTCAAATTCTTTTGGACACTTTAAGACCTATGATCATCAGACTTTGTCAGTTGATGCATCTTGGGTCCCCGTAGTACATTAACTGAAAAGTAGGTCAATGTGACCTACTTTGAAATTTTATGGCTATATTTAAATATTGTAGGTAATAATTGGTTTAAATTCTTCGAACTTTGTCAGTTGATGTATTTTGAGTCCTCAGAATGTGTCAACTTTCAGTTAAAATCCTCAAACTTTGTCAGTTGAGGCATTTTGGGGTCTAGGGGTATGTTTACCAAAAAGTGGGTCACCATGAACTACTTTTGGAACCTCATGGCTATATCTGAATATTTAAGATAACAAGGGGCTTCAAATCATTGAACTTTATCAGTTGTTGTATCTTGGGTTCTCAGAGTGTTTTAACCAAAATGTAGGTCATGATGACCTACTTTTGGAATTGTCTAAATAAACAGGATACTTAGAGGCTTCAAATAGAAGTGATAGATTATACAATTTATCATGAGAGTGATTCAAGGCCCTTGGGCCTCTTGTAATACATGTAATTATAAATTCATCTTTTAATAAAAGTTTATACTTCAGTTATAATAAGTTCATACTTCTATAGTAATTGAAAAGCATGTAAGAATTTTTTCTCAAAATTTTTTTAGTATCCCCTATTTCTCGATTACTTCCTTAAAAGTATACAGTTTCTCATCTCTCTATCACCAAATTGTTGCATATGACGTCACAAGCAGTATGGCACCATATTTGAATTTCACAGTTTCTCTTATAATATGCTTACAAAGACCTTTATTATACCCCCGCAAACAAAGTTTGGGAGGGGGTATATTGAAATCAGCATGTCCATCTGTCTGTCTAGCTGTCCATCTGTCTGTAGACCTTTTCTTGGAGACTATTATATGGATTTGTCTGAAAATTTGTACACTAATTATTCACCATATGAAGGTGTGCACCTGGTAATTTCATGATGATTGGATAATTTTTCTGCATTTTACAGGTGTTTTTTTTTTTCATTTTTATTAACTGTCATTTTGGGTTCATATATATTTGAGACATAGAATCTAGAACTGTCAGTTGTTACATCTGTACAAAAATGTGAATTGCAGCTTAAAACCACTCATTAAAACTCGAAAAATCACTAAGTATTAAAAAAAGTTTTTGGGTAGATAGTCCCTACAAATCTAAGAGTCATGCAGCAACTTTATTTAAAAATGTTGGATCAAGCTATTAAGATTACACAGTTCTTTTTTTTTTCATTTCCTTTTATTTTTAAAATGAATTTGGTATAAAGTTATCAAGATTAATTAGATATTGTAAAATATTATTTTTTTTTCAACAAACAAATTGCAGAGTGCCTTGTCTCACAAAGAAGATGGATAGTTGCAGGCAGTTTATTTCTTTAATCTAATAAAAACCAATATAATTATTAGTATTGACGTTTCATTCGGCTGCGCCTTAATTCATCATTCATTAATAAAATTTAATAAGCAATTAAATTTTCACTCTTTAAACAAATTATGAACGCCTCTTAGATCCATAAAATATATTTAGTGACTTTGCTCCATTTCTGAAAAACCAAGTGGGGGGTATTTTTCCATTTTGGACAGTTCTAGTTTTATTCAGCATTTTAATAAACAGTTGTAGATAATATTTTTCGTAAAATTACCGATTTTTTAAAAACATAAAACAAGTCCTTTAAGAAAAAAGAATTACAAAAAACATATAATTTTCTCTATTACTGCAAGGCAAGGAATTCTCAAATATATATGCAAGCATTCTCATGATTAATTCATGTTTTTTTATGCCCTTATATGAATAAAAGAGATACATGTATGTAACTCAGTGATCATTGTGTCTTATTGACTGGGTCCAAAGGGCAGCAGCTGTCTTGTTTGACCCAAGAAAGATCTTTTGCCAAAAGCCTTCAGCCAGTTTTAGCTCACCTGAGCTGAAAGCTCAAGTGAGCTTTTCTGACCACCTGTTGTCCGTCGTCCGTCTGTAAACTTTTCACATTTTCAACTTCTTCTACAGAACCACTGGGCCAATTTTAACCAAATTTGGTACAAAGCATCCTTGTGTGAAGGGGAGTTTAAATTGTTAAAATAAAGGGCCAAGTCCCTTTCAAAGGGGAGATAATTAAGAAATGACAAAAATAGGATGGGGTCATTTAAAAATCTTCTTCTCAAGAACCACTGGGCCAGAAAAGCTGAAACTTATGTGGAAGCATCCTCAAGTAGTGTAGATTCTAAATTGTTCAAATCAGGACCCTCAGGGGTAGGGCGGGGCCACAATAGGGAATCCAAGTTTTACATTGAAATATATAGAAAAAATCTTTAAAAATCTTCTTCTCAAGAACCACTGGGCCAGAAAAGCTAAAATTTATGTGGAAGCATCCTCAAGTAGTGTAGATTCTAAATTGTTCAAATCATGACCCCAGGGGTAGGGCAGGGCCACATTAGGTATTACAAGGGGGAAATCTGGTAAATGTTCTCACAAATGAATGTTATTTACTGTTTAAGTTTGTTTATAACCTGACAAAATGGCCTTTTGTTTAAGCTCATCTGAGCTTAAAGCTTATGTAAGCTTTTCTGGTCACATTTTGTCTGGCATTCTTCTGTCCATCCATCTGTAAACTTTTCACATTTTCAACTTCTCAAAAAACACTGGGTTTATTCAAATAAATAGTGCCACAAAGCACTCACGGGTGAAGGGGATTTAAGTTTATTTATACGAAGAAACCATGCCCTCTTCCAAAGGGAGATAATGAAGAATTAGGGAAAATTAAAAGGCATCTTTCAGAAGCTTTAAAAAATTCTCTCAGGAACCACTGGGCCAGAAAAGTTGAAACTTATATGAAAGCTACATTATGTACATGTAATTTGTTCAAATCATGACCCCTGGAGATAGTGTAAGGTCACAATAGGCAAAGTTTTACATGGGAACATATAGGGGAAAAAAATCTTTAAAATCATCTTTTCAAGAATAGCAAAGGCATGATCAGCATTTTTACCTGAAAGCATTTTCAGATGTGTACATTCAAGTTTGTTCAAATTATGGTGGAGCCACAAGGGACAATCATTATAGTTGTACATGGGAATATATAGGAAAAAATCTCATCAAGAATAGCAAAGGCTTGAATAGTCATATTGATATGGGAGCATTCTCAGGTAAAATGGTTTGTTCAGAACATGACCCCTGAACAACCCAAAGGTGATTAGAGTTTAAACATAGGGATATAAAGGGAGAAAATCTTCTCAAGAACAGGAAAGGCATCATGTCATAATTATATGAAAGCATCCACAAGTGGTGTAGATTGAAATTTGTTCCACTCCCGTGATAGGGTGGGAACACAATGGATGATCAAAGTTTTAAATAGTAATATATAGGGAAAAATCTTTTCAAGAACAGTAAAGGCATGATTAATCATACTGATATGAAAGTATCCTCAAGCAGTGTAGATTCAAATTTGTTCAAATTATGACCCCTGGATAGGATTGGGCTGCGATAGGTGATCAAAGTTTATACATAGGAGTATGCAAGGAAAAATCTTCTCAAGAACAGCAAAGTTATGATTAATCATACCGGTAATGATATATAAGCATCCTCAGGTAGTATAGATTCAAGTTTGTTCAAATCAAGATCCCCTTTTTAGGATGGGCCTCAGTAGGCTATCAACTGGGCCATAGTGACTCAAGTGAGCGCTGTGGCCTACAGGCTTCTTGTTTCCATTTACAGGGAGCAGTATTATCAAATTCCAAGTTTGAAGGCAAAGTGGTAACATGTGAGGTTGGTTCCATTCCTGCAAGCAACAATAAAACCTGTGGTAAGTATATAAATTAATACATAATTGTTTCATTTTGTATTACAGTGAAACATGTCTAATTCAGATGTTGTGTATTTGGAAATCTTGCCTAATATGAATAAACTTTAAGTTCTTTTCAGTAAATTCAGTTGATTAGAATGTTTAGTCCAGTTTGTTTTCTAATCTGGCCATTTTCTATGGTGTCCTGATAAGTCAAGTTTTACTGTGTTATCGTGTTAACAGTTTAATCAATTTATGTTTGGACTTGATTTTCTGGTATATAATGAATGAGGTCACTTGTTTGTACATACTTGAGTAACTAAGATTACATCCATTTTATCTCACCTCAGTCACAGGCTTGATCAAAGGGTGGCCTGTTAATTTACAACCATTCCAAAATTGTGTGGATTCAAGATTTTACAAATTGGGGGTAAGGGTGAGGATAAAACGAGGAATCAAATTTTACATACCTCGGGTAATATTTTGCATAATATATGAATATATAAATAAAAAGAAAAATCTCAAGAACAATGAGGCCATATTATTAGAGTGGACAAAGAAGTAGGAAAGGGAATCTTTATACTAAGAAGTAGATGAGAGAAGAATAACAAAAAATTCAATGTCTATTATAAGGCTACAAATTATAAAATTATATGCAAGTTCCCTTATGTAATGTAAATTAAAAAAATTTGTTTCATGGTGATATCTCAAGAGGCTTTTGAGCTTTTGCAATGAAATTTTATACCATATTTCCCTATGGTCCTGCCTGCCTCTCTCAAAGTGTCCTGCCCCATTGTTTTTTTTTTTTAGCTCTTCTGAGCCAAAGGCTCAAAGAGCTAATGTTATGGCCATTTGTGCAGTGTGCGTAAACTTTTTAGAATATGGCCCATAACTTAAGAACCCCTTGGCCAATTATTATCAAATTTGTCTCAGGGTATCCTTGGCCCAAGGGCTCCCTTTTATACTAAAACTAGGGTTGTGACCCTTAAACAAGGGGAGATAATTAGGAAAATAGAAACAAAAGTACTGGTTGCTGAAAAATCTTCTTCACAAGAACCACTGGGCAGATTATCACCAAACTTACACAAAAGGATGAGGATATGTTGTAGATTAAAATTTGCATGGGGATTTACCCTGGGGCAAAGGGAGTGGTTTCAAGGTCACTTCAAAGTTGACCAAAAATTACATTTTATTAAAATGTTGATTTTTTGCTTACAATAGGGACTAGGATCATTAAATCTTGTCAGTTGATGCATCTAAGGACCTCATATCATGTTGACTCAAAAGTAGGTTACGGTGACCTACTTTTTAAATTTTGCGGCCATTCTTTTTCAAAATGATTTAGAGGCATATTTTGAAGAATTTAAGGCCTATGATCATCAAACTTTGTCAGTTGATGTATCTTGGGTCCTCAAAGTATGTCAACTAAATGTAGGTCACCTTGACCTACTTTTTGAACTTTATGGCTAATCTTTTTCAAAACAATTCAGGTCTTAAATTTGAATACCAAGAGGTTTAGAAACATTAAATCTTGTAAGATGATGCATCTTTGGGTCATAAAACATATTTATTAAAAAGTAGGTCACAGTGACCTTTTTTTTGAACTTTGCAGGCATTCGATTTCAAAGTGTTTTAGAGGCATAATTTGGACATTTTAAGGCCTATGGTCATAAAACTTTGTAAGTTGATGCATCTTGGGTCCTCTAAAAAGGTCAACTGAAGAGTAGGTCACTGTGACCTACTTTTCAATTTATATGACTATAATTAAATATTTCAGGTACTAATTTGCTTAGAATCATCAAACTTTGTTAGTTGATGCATCTTGGATCTTCGGAGTAGGTCAACTGAAAAGTAGGTCATTGTGACCTACTTTTGAAAATTTATGGCTTTAATTAAATATTTCAGGTACTATAATTGGCTTAGAATCATCAAACTTTGTCAGTTGATGCATCTTGGGTCTTCGGAGTAGGTCAACTAAAAAGTAGGTCAACGTGACCTACTTTTAAAATTTATGGCTTTAATTAAATATTTCGGGTACTAATTGGCTTAGAATCATCAATCTTTGTCAGTTGATGCATCTTGGGTCTTCGGAGTAGGTCGACTAAAAAATAGGTCACTGTGACCTACTTTTGAAAATTTATGGCTTTAATTAAATATTTTGGGTACTTATAGGCTTAGAATCATCAAACTTTCTCAGTTGATGCATCTTTGGTCCTTGGAGTACGACAACTGAAAGTAGGTCACTTTGACCTACTTTTGAAATTTCATGGCTGTATTTAATATTTTCTGGTACTAATTGGCTTAGAATCATCAAACTTTGTCAGCTAGTCGATGTATTTTGGGTCCTTGGAGTAAAACAACTGAAAAGAAGGTCACCGTGACCTACTTTTGAAAATTTATGGCTTTAATTAAATATTTCAGGTACTAATTGGCTTAGAATCATCAAACTTTGTCAGTTGATGCATCTTGGGTCCTTGGAGTACAACAACTGAAAAGTAGGTCACTTTGACCTACTTATAAAATTTTATGGTTATAATTTTAAAAAATATTCTAGGTATTAATTGGCTTAGAATCATCAAACTTAGTTGATGGGTCCTCAGAGAATGACATGTGATAAGTAGGTCACCATGACCAACTCTAGGTACTAATTGGCTTAGAATCATCTTGGGTTCTCAGAGTGTGAATTGGAATTTCAAGGGTTTATCTAAATATACAGGATACTTAGAGGCTTCAAATAGAAGTGATAGGTTGTACAGTTTATCAGAAGAGCGATTCAAGGCCCTTGGGCCTCTTGTTTTATTTGGTAAATTTTTTGTTTAATCAAATGTCAATTGGAATTTTGTTGGCATCAATCACACTCAAAGTTTTAGAGTTACTCCCCATTTGTATTAAAAGTCGCGTGGCACTATTTTTAGCATAGGAGCATATGGAGAGGTATTACATATAATATTGGTTCTTGGAAGACTTTATATGATTACATCTATTAGAACTGGGTTTTTTCACACCTCATTTACAATAATAAATGAATAAAATTTGTGTGTTTCATAATAAAAAAAATTGTTTAGAAACAAATAAAGATACATAGGGGGTTCCAGTAAATGTTCTACCAAGCCTCTTTCTTTACTCCTCACAAAAATATTTACTGTCATGAAGGAGAAACTTCAGGAGTACTGTACAACAGTATATTTGAGAAGTAGTGTAAATCAGATGTGGATACTTAAAAACTCTGAAGAACTTTTGGAAAATTTGAAATCACAGAATTGTACTAAAATCAGTAGCATCAAAACATACGACTTTTCAACACTTAATACAACCATTCCCCACGATAAATTGAAGTCTAGGCTTTTTAACATAATAGACAGTTGCTTTTTTCAATAAAAATGGAACTTGTAAATATACTTACCTTGCCATTGGTCATTTACAAAATCATTTTGTTAAAAAGCATTCTGATTGTACACACAAGTACTCTGAAGTTGATATTAAAAAAGATGCTTGAGCTTCTGATTGACAATATCTGTGTAGTTTTTGGAGATCAAGTCTTCCAACAATCTGTTGGAATTCCCATGGGTACCAATTGTACCCCCTTATTAGCAGACCTATTTTTGTATTCATATGAAGCAGAATTTATTCAAAAACTTCTACATGAGAAGAAGAAAACACTTGCTGTGGCCTTCAACTTGACATTTCGATATATCGATGACATATTATCAATTAACAATAGTTACTTTCATTCATATGTCAACTCGATATATCCCAGTGAGCTTGAAATAAAGGATACCACAGATTCTGACACATGTTTCATATTTAGATATTTTACTAGAAAAAGATGTTAATGATAACCTAACAACAAAGCTTTATAATAAACGTGATGGCTTCAACTTTTCAATCGTCAACTTCCCTTACTTATGTAGCAATATACCCTTATCACCTGCATATGGGGTTTATGTCTCTCAGTTGATTCAGTACGCAAGAGCATGCTATACGTATGAACAATTTCTAAAACAAGAAAAGCTATTGACAAACAAGTTGATGAAACAAGGATATCAACAGTCTCATTTGAAGTCATCTTTTCGCAAGTTTTACGGTTGATACAATGACCTTGTCAGCACATACAACCTATCATTGAATCAAATGCTGACTTATGTTTTTCATACTAACTGTTGGGCCATTATTTATACACTGAAGTGTCTATGGATTATTCCTTTTTTTCCCGATCATGACAAGGAGCACACGGCAGGTGTGACCGGTTGGCAGGGGATGCTCACTCCTCCATGGCACCTGATCTCACCTCTAAATGTTTGCTTGCTCCAAATTTGTATCGTTTCACTGGACTTTCGAGATTGAATACTGTTCATTATCTTCATATTTCATTTAGTAAAGACTAAATTAAACAAAATGTGTTGGATAAAATTTTGACAATATCCAACTTGTCAAGAATGAAAAATTGGATGTTATAAGAATAGTGGAAATCTGTGATTTTTTATTGATGACAAAGCACAAGATAATATTTGTTGGTCAAACAAAAAATATATATTATTTAGAAAAAGGCCAATGAGAATTGGTGACTAACACATGCCAATATGCACAAAGTATTTGGATCCGCACCCAATTTCATATGAGCAGTTATGATGTGTGGTGTGTACAAACATTCTCATAAAATCATTATTACAGTGTGATAAATATTTTATATAAAAAGAATCTTGGTACACATTTTAAAGAATAAGGAATCAAATCTATGTATCCATATTGATATTTACCATGTGAGAATTTTGTATAAGAAGATCATTATGTAAATGTATACAGTAATAGAAAATAAAAAATAAAATCCCCCCACCCGCCCCAATTTTTAAGCAAATTAGGACGAAAATCTAACTTTAAATTTATGTGGTCTTAAGGCCAAAAGTGCAAAATAATAATAATAATAATAACCCTAAACTCCTTTTTCCCAATCCTGAAAAACCTATTTCTTAACGGGTGTCCATGTTTTCTAGAGAGGGGGGAGGAGGTGTCCAAAGTCATTTTTTTTATTTGCTTCAGTACATGTATGTACATTTAATAACTCTGCAAATCCCCTCTAGATCTGCACATGCTCTTCTCTTTTCCTTAAGCAGGGGACACAAAATTCTCTGAATTTGCTTGTTTTGTTTTTAATGAAAATTGAAAAAGGAAAGACTACAAATTTTCAGTTTATTATGAGAGTTTCTCCATGCAGCATAGATTTAAATATTTTTACATTATTACCATTTGGACCAAGAAACTTCTTAGGGCTCTCCCATTTTACAAAGAAATAGATGAGAAAACAAACCAATGAATGTGGCTGGATCAGGAAAACTTTCACGTATTGATACTCAAGTATCTGTTCAGGCCAGTGGACCTGTTGTTCATTGTTTTCAAAGAAATTTTTAAATGTAAAATTAAATTTTTTTATGCTGTCTTTCAGTAATATGTGTGGCAGGATCATACCATGACACTGCAATGGGCACCTGTAAAAACTGTTCCAGGAATTTTTATCAGGATCAAGTTGGACAGACAAGTTGTAAATCATGTCCAGGCTCGGTGAAAATGTTTACTCTATCAGAGGGTTCAATAACACAGAGTCAGTGTGTGTGTAAGTATCCAGTCAGGATCTTTTGAAGTCACCAAAGCCTAATGCTTCCAACTGTCTGTTCATTAATTTTTCAAATTTTTCACAACAATCAGCAAGACAGTTATGACCAAATATTAGGGTATCAAAAGTTTTACATTGGAATACAAGTGTTGCCACATGTACTTTTAACATCCTTTAGTGAATGCAGGCAACAAAATGTTATATGCACAACTTAGTATAAGAATACTTTTATTTTGGTAGGCTTTTTATGTATCGTTAAAACTTGGTGAATAACTACAAGTATCAACAGTTTATAAGAATATGTAGTAGATTGAAACATAAACTCAGTCTGACAATATTAAAACAATAAAGGAGTATATTAAAACAATAAAGTTAAGGATTTTAATTTCAGCTGAGTGTAATACTAATCCAAATTATTGTAAGAATGGAGGAACATGTAATTCCAATGATGTGACAATATGGTGCACATGTAAGGAGCGATACACAGGACCCAGATGTGAAGATAAAGCTGGTATGTTGTACTTAATAGTCTCATCAGTTTACAAGTTTCTGTCACTTTTAGTGGATGATAGCTAGCTAGATATACACATTACTATCATGACAATTTGTCTGTGAGGAGTCGCAATCTCAAAAAAATTAATACTTTTCCTAGAATAAGAATGTTTTTGTTTTTTTTAACTTTGATCAATAATCATCATAATTACAGACTTATTAGCTCACCTGAGCCGAATGCTTAAGAGAGCTTTTCTGATCACATTTTGTCCAGCGTCCATCTGTCTGTAAACTTTTCACATTTTCGACTTCTTCTCAAGAACCACTGGGCCAATTTTATCAAACTTGCCACAAAGTATCCTTGGATAAAGGGAATTCAAGTTTGTTCAAATGAAGGGGAGATAAAAAACAAATTAGTGAAAATAAATGACATCTTTTAAAAATTTTCTTCTCAAGAACCACTGGGCCAGGAAAGATAAAACTTAGTGGAAACATGCTCAGGTAGTGTAGATTCAAATTAGTTCATATCAGGACCCCCGGTGTAGGGTGGGGCCAAAGTTAAACATAGAAATACATAAGAAAAATCTTTTCTCAAGAACAACAGAGGTATGATAAGTTACATAAGTATTTAGGTCACCTGAGTCACGCAGGTGACCTATTGCTATCTGTTTTTGTCTGTCGTTGTTCATCACATTTCGTCCGTCAGTCGTAAACTTTTTAACATTTTCAGTTTCTACTCGGGAACCACTTTACCAATTCAACCAATTTTGGCATACAGCATCTATGGGTGAACAGAAACAAATATTGTGAAATTCGTGGCCCCTGCCCCCCTGGGGCCTATGAGGTGGGGCTTAAACCATAAAAATTAATGCAATCTTTAAAAATCTTCTTTACTCCTGAACAACAAGAAGTCTTACTATTGGCATGATTGTAATAAGCATTAAGCACTGTATCAAAATTGAGAAATTCATGGCCCCTGGGTCAGGGGTTCTTGTGCTAGGGTGGGGCTCTATTGATCACATAGTGAAAATTCATAAATTCTTTAAAAATCTTCTCTTCCCCTGTATATAAAGCCGATGATTTAGTTGCATGGTTATGATGATCAAGGGGGCCTCAGGGAAGGGGTTCTATTGATTATATAGTGAAATGCATAAATTCTTTAAAAATCTTCTCTGCTCCTGGGTATTTAGCAGATAAACTAAGTGCATGGTTTTAATGGTCAAGAATGCCTCTTCTGAAATTGTGAAATTTGTGGCTCCAGAGCCAGGTGTTCTTGGGGGGAGGGGGGGGGGGGCTATTGAATATATTGTGGAAATTAGGGCCCAAGACCATAAACTGAGAATAGTCTTTAGTCAAATTTTTAATTCTGAATATCCTGAGTTTTATTTTTCATATGTGTATAAAAAATTCCATGTTCATATAACACATTTAAATACAGACACATGATGAAAATTTTGCTTGATTACAGGGTTTGACATTAACTTTTTCAAGTACTAGACCAGTCGGGCTACTTCCCAAAATTTTTAGTAGCCCTGACCTTAAAATCACAAGCCCTGACCAAACCTGCAAATTTATTTCTTATAATCGCTAATTTTAATGAGGTAATCTTGAAATCGTTTCTCGCGCGTGTCAAGAATTTGACCCTACTACCCATTTGAGTCGGGTTCATCAAGACATATTGTAAGCTGTAAAGATCATTCAATGAACTTATTTTTTTGTCCTAAGTAGTAATAAATTAATAGCAGAATATATATATATTTTTCAGTAACTACTGTACATGTACATAAATTGGCGTATTCAAAATTTAGCGCAATTACTGGGTATGGAGTTATTGGCGAAATCATGAATTAGCGCTACACATGTCCGTGTCTTATATTGTGTTTATAAATGATTTCTTTGAGGTATTCATGAATTAAACAGTATTTATACCATATTGATACAGATCTACAACGACTCGTCTATTTAACCATTTCTAAAAATAGCAATTGTGTCATACGGGGATTTTTTCACAGAGTGATGGGTGTTTACAATCGGAAAAATTAAGAAAAATTCTTTAAAAGTTTTTGAATATTTATTTGAAACACTGAAATGGGTTTTAACAGTTATCTTATTAACACGACCAATTGGTCTAGTTCAAGTACATTTTATACAACCGGACAACTCATTTACTAGACTGAGTCGGTCGGACATGCCTTAGTGTCAAACCCTGGATTATCAAAATTATTTCAGAGGTTATTTTCATTTGAAATTTTGACTTAAGTCTGTTCTCAGTTTATGGTTTTGAGGCCAGGGCTGGTATCGGCTGGGAATTTCGTATTGCGATATATTGCATTATTATATAGTCTATTTATAGTCCCTATATAATCTATATAAACACAAACAGTTCATAACACTACATATTCACTGGTTTTGAAGCCATATTCACCGGAGGGTCGGTGCGCGTGCAGCGGCATTGTGACGTCACAATCAACATCTCAAACAACGTTGTAAACAATGGTTGCAACGGCCGGAGCAAGCTGTGTATCTGAGCAGGAAAAACATTAGCCAAGCCTATCGCAGGATTATTTTCTAAACATTTCGATGACTTACAAACAGCAAAAGAAAAACACGGAAGCTATAACTTGTAATCTGGACATTTTATTTTTATTTTTCCATGACAGAGGTTCGTAAATGAAAGTGATATCATCATGCAGCCTTCAATGTCTTATTTATTCAAATCCGGACTATATAATAAAACAATTATGGACTCTTCCGGTGGTGAATATGGTTTGTTATTCACCAGAAAAATATCAATATTGACCGAGGCGAAGCCGAGGTCAATATTGATATTTTTCTGGTAAATAACAAACCATATTCACCACCGAAAGAGTCCATAATTGTATAATATTTTATACTGTATTGCAATATGTATTGCAATATTTTTAATAACTGTTAAAATGCTCTTTTCCTATATTATTAACCTCTATTTATAATCAAAGTGATTAAAACTACATGTGTATTATAAATATGTTGTATATATAAAAAGTTCTTGTGGATTTCACTTAAGTTTGCAAGGAAATACAACCATACAACAGCAACCTTATTGTTTGGCAAGATTGAAAGCGTTTCTGGCATCTTGATTTTCATATTTTACTTTAGAAATCCCAAGCATTTTATCGAAATACTAGTACTCTAAAAACGTATCGCAATACGATATTTTTTGCTAATGACCAAGGACCAAGATATTCACAATTTTGGAAGAAGCACTCTTGCTCATCATAACAATGCACTTAGTATGTTTCCTTAATAACAATGGGCATAGAAGATTTTCAAAGAAACGATGCATTACTAGTATATATTCAAGAGTGCCTCACCCTAAAACCAAAACCCCTGACCCTGGATTATGAATTTCAAAATTTTTGAAAAGACATCCTTGCTCATCATAAGTAATAATACCCAGGGGCAGAGAAGAAGATTTTCAAAAAAATAATAAAATAATGCATTTCCACTAGGACTGCGCATTAATATCAATATTCCAGTATACTGCAATTCGTTAACAAAAAATATCGTATTGCGATACGTTTTTCGAGTACTGGTATATCAATGAAATGCTTAGGCTTGGGATTTCTAAAGTAAAATATGAAATTCAAGATGCCAGAAACGCTTTCAATCTTGCCAAACAATAAGGTTGCTGTTGTATGGTTGTATTTTGGTGCAAACTGAAGTGCAGAAGTACGGATAGTTTTTTAATAGACTGTGTGGTGATTGTGATAAATGGGGAACAGATTAGTACCTAATCTATGAACTGTTAATGAATGCTAGACTACTTTTAGTAATTATTTCGTTGATCCTGATCATCTTATTTTCTAGCTTTTGAGCAACAAAGATTCACTATACTCTATAGATCCTCTAAATTGTTGTATTATACTCAGGTGACTGTTAAGGCCCTTGGGCCTCTTGTTTAAATCAAAGATTACTTATTACTGTGACTAAACAATTTGCTAGGCTGAAGAAACAACTTATGTAATAGTGTTAGTACATAGAACCACCCATATGATTGTACAAAGAAGAACACAAGACTTAGTGTTTTATCCCAGAATTATCATTAAATCCAATGAAATTGCAACAAGTTTGACTGATGAATGCATAAGGTGGAAACTATTGAGAAAGGACTTTGTCAGTTGTTTGTTAATTTCACTTTATGAATCTAACTTATTAAACAGTTGCTGTCAATATCGCCAAACATGATGAAATGCAAGCAATATTGACCAAATGCTTCCATTAACAAGGTCAGGTTTTAAAAAGTCTTTGACATTTGACAGCCATTCTACACAGCATGCTGGCATAACATTGAGTAATCTCAGTCTTTGTGACACTTTACAAAGTTTTAGAATTGGCTTCAAATATTTTCTTGATAGAGAAACTAGGAAAAAAGTAATCTCAGTCCAGATCATAAAAATTGAAAATCGCCAGCTCAAATTTTCTCACTCGCAAAAATGAAAGTTTTAATAATTAGTCGCAAAGTTAATTTTTTGATTGCAAATGCGACCATTTTAGTCGCAACTTGGAGCACTGTTTTTCCAAGCCAGAGAGTGCTCAGGTGGGTGATTTGGCCCATGGGCCTTTGCTGATAAATGAGATAACATTCATGATTTATATTTTAAGTTATCAAAAATATTGTCATATTATGTTTGTAGTTAAGAAGATTTTACAGTTGATTGTACAAAAAATGTTGTTTTCTTTCTAGAATTCACTTCAAACACACCATACATAATAGGAGGAGCTGTTGGTGGATTAGCTGCAATAATGGTTATAGCTCTTGTCATTGTATGCTTGATTAGGTGTCTCCGAAGGTAAGCTCATTATAAATATGGTTGATATTCATGAAAACTAAATATTACACATGCTGTGAGTGCTTCACCAGACAAGCACCAATTAATACTACAGTCACTTGATCAAGGTCACAAAGACCAGTGAATGATATAACTAACCATTTTGATGCAGTTACTTGGGAATTTTTAATGTAACCTCTGTTCTTTGTTTTTACTACACAGATAAAGAGTGGTTTGAATTTTGATGTCACTTTATCAAAGTTCCATATTATTGATATGTCTAATTCACATAGGTAGAAAACCGTAATTAGACTCTGTGTCTCAGGACAGGATTGTGTGTTTAACATAGTTGAAGTTGAGCAGATCCATTCAGCGAAATAATAAACACTTAGGTTGTACAACAATTTATTATGAAATCATGCATTCAGTCAGAAGTCCAACTGATCAGATAAAAATTTCAGAATTATATTTCAAAGTAGATTGTCTTCATACTTGCTAAAAGTTCTAGGTGAATAGTTAAGATTATTTAAACAATAAAATATTGTCTTCTTCATTCTAAGTATGAGAATTGATGTTGCAGCTATTACAGAAAAAGTACAAAATCAACTCTTGTAGGTTATAATTTTTTTTTAAATAGCTGCAACTTTATAATTCCCATACAATGTCATTTTTGTACATTTCATTGATGGAAGAGCCACTGCTCAAAAAATCTATACAGGTGGCTTGAGCGACAAAGTTTTGATAATTGAGAGTGTTTTTTTTTTTTTTAGGAAATAAAGCGATAATATTAAGTGGATGTAAATATTTATATATTTATCTATGCACACTTGAGATGTGTGGGGGAAGGGGAGGGGCTATATAACTGAAAGTTTTTAGTTTTCTAGTAACAGCATTGTTGTCGAGTAGTGCAGTAAGACAGTGTGATATAGTGTTTAAAGAACAAGGTTCACTTGGGGCCTTTTTTGGCCCTGTGATTTCCTGAAAAAATGAAACTGCTTTGATTGATTGATTGTAAGTTGTTTTACGTCGTGCTTGAGAATTTTTCACTTGTATAGAGATGTCACCATATACTGGTGAAGGGCTTCAAATTTAGACCTTTACTCGGAACTCGGGGTCATTGAGCAGTGAAGGTTCTTTATCATGCCAATGCCTACCATAACATGGGGCCTTGGTTTTTAAGGTCTCATCTGAAGGACCCATAACTTTCACTTTAAAGTGCCAAGTGTTTGGCAAAGGAACAGTTGCTACCTTTTTTAGCGACTTAGGTCAGTTGCAGCCGTGGTTTGAACACATGACCCTCTGATCACCGAGCAAGCGCTCCAGCAACTGAGCTATGATAATGGCAAAAAGTGCTTTGTGTTAGTTGACAATTGCATGAAATATCTTTTAGACTGTTTGTGACTGTGTGTCTATCAAAAATGACGAAATCTTTTGGCTAGTCAATGCATTATGATGACAGGAATTGTTTCATTTTCCCCATATCCTGAAAAATTCTATAAAATGGCCATTTTTTCCAAGCTATTTTTCAATATTTTGTATAGAGCTCTGATCTAAAATATGCAATTATTTAATGAGAGAACTGTTTCTGAAGATTACAAATTAAACATGTTTTATTTTTTGGATCGAGGAGTGCACTCTGATTTTTATTCTTCGCTGAAAGTAATCAAATAAACCTGTTTTCTTTAAAATTCAATAACATTGCAATTTCAAAAAGGCCTGTTTTCCAAAATTGTGCTTACAGAGGAAAATTTTTAATAGGAAATGAAAACACTAAGTCTTTATTTTGATGTTTGAAGTAGAACATAGAGTGGTAGTCAATAAAATGGTACATCTACAAGGCCATTTTAAGCATAAAGTGAACCTAACTCTTTCTCCTTTGAGATTGTCTTTTATATATCAACCAAACCTTTTGCTCTGATTGTAGATCTAAGGAATCCAAATATCCACCAAAAGATCCAATGGATTATGGTTATGATTACCATGATCCTCTATATGATAACAGGTCCAAAAAAGGAGTTATGTCATATGCCCGAATGAACCCAACCTTTAACTATGACGACGGCAGCTTCTATGATACTCGTAATAGGATGTATGCACAAGAAGATAATAACAGTGCATATCGATGGCAGGAGGCTCAAGGGGATTATGATCTTTAACATTCTCTCATCTACAACTGTATATTAATCAAGTAGTTAAAACATTATATATCAAAATTTTACAATTATTATTTTGCTCTTGAAAGTCTAAACATGGTTTCATCATTACTCCATAGTACACGTGTGTGTGTGTTTTAAATGTGTGATTGTTTTTAAAGTAGACAATCCTTTTACAGAAATTTTTCTCTGATTTTTACTCCACTGGGGCTTTTTGTACTTTATGAGTGCATGAAATATTCTTGAATGAAGTAAAAATGACTTATTTCTTGCCTGTACAAGTGCACCAGAATGTACATTTTTCGTTTGAAAATGCATTTTTTAAATTAGCATAGCAATCAATAGTTTGTTTCTTGTGCAATATCTTAATCAAAAGCAATGTTTTCAATCAAATTCATAAACAAAACATATTTAATATATTATGTTAATGTTCAGAGTTTAATGTATGAATTGAAAACCTCAAAATCAGATGGTTGGAAATGTGCAAAATTCTGCATGAAAAATTCTGAAAGACTTCAAAAAATCACAATTTCTAGAAGTAATGTTCACATGTGTTAGTGATGCTGAAGGTCCTTCATCTTTGAATTCTCACTGAAATGAGGTGTGTGTTAATTTGAAAGTATATAATTTTCATAATCAAACATTTCAGTTCTTGTGTGAAATTTGATAGTTATAAATGGTAGAAATTATATATTCAGAATGCATAATATTCATAATTCCTTCATTGTTATGTATTACTTATTTTAGTTTTTCTATTGACATGTACAATGTATTGCCAGTTATAATGCAAAATAAATAAATTATATATATTTTAAGTTTCCTTTCTTTTCTTATTTATGTTAATTAATACAAATGGGCATAAACTAATAATCAGAACAACAAATATCTTTTTAGGGGAGAGAATCACTGTTTTATCAACCCATACCAGTATTTTACTGATAGGGCCCCGCAAGGATTTTCGGGTGCCCTATAGTAATCACTGTCTGTCTGCCTGTCATTCTTCCATCCACAAATTTTCTGGGGGGGGGGGGGTTTCTAATAACTTTTTTTTATAGTTGACCAATTAATTTCAAATTTGGTATGTTGGTTAAATAGGCAGTAAGACATATTTTGATGCTAAAGTTTGGTTCTCTGTGACATCCAGTTTGATGGTGGGGTACATTAGAATGAATGCCAGGGCGAAGAGAGATAATTGCTGAGAATGTTCCTATTGTAAACTATGTGAAAGCTGCAACTAGTCCCATGGGATTAATTAACTTTCCTCTTGAAGAAAATTCAAAACATTATCTGTTTCTGTCACCTCAGTTAAGGTCAATTCTGAATGATGTTCACATTCTCTGAAATGTGGATTTAAATAATGTTCTTACTTTATTTTGGTAGAATACACAATGAGTTATGATTTTATTGAATTAAAAAAAACCAGATATACATAAAGATATCTTCTTTATTTTCTTTTTATTGTTTTTTTTTTTTTTTTTTTTTTTTTTTTTTTTTTTTTTTTTTTTTTTTTTTTTTTTTTTGCTGCCTTGCGTAAATTCAAGAATACTATTTATTTTAACAGGTAGTCTGATAATAATCTCGAACTCATTCTATTATTGCTAGAAAAGTTCTTATTGTAAACTTAGAAGAAAAGTTTGAGAGAGCAGTACAATTAATCCCCTGGGATTAATTATCTTGTCTGGTGCAGAAAATTTTAGAGACTTATCTTTATTTGTCACTTTAAGATAAATTAACACCTTTTTCTACAGCTGATGTTTGTTTTGAAGTTAAAGTCAAGTCTGGGTGTTATTTGCATTCATTGAAGACTGACATTTTATAAAACACTGCATGTTTTATTCTTGTTTAAATATACATTTAATAATTTAGTTATTGTAGATGTGATTTTTTTACTGCCTTATGTAAATACAAGGATACTATTTACATGTTGTTGGGTATTTAGGAATTGTCTTGAAAATTTATAAATACAGTTATTGTTGCATATTCTTCTTCATATATTTTTAATTTTTTGTAATCAGGTAAAATTCTCATCCTGTAAGCTGCACCCTTATATTTCTTCCCCTCAGTGGGGCCCTTGCTGACTGGTCAGTTTTTTTAGTTTTTTGGATTTTCATAGTAATAAATGGAATATTTCTCTTTCCCCAGTAACTTCTTCTCTAGCTTTCATCTTATGCATGGCCTTTAGCATTATGACACATATGTCATTGGTAACACCACACAGATGACTGAATTTGTGTATTATTGTCCTTGCACAATAAGCTGCCAGAGGAGCACCCTTTCAATAGCGTGTAGACAGTTCTACTCACTTTCTGTTGACTGGTCACATAAAATATAGCTGATCACATGAGTCTCACAATAGGATTTGTGAAGAATGCAAAAGGGGTTGGGTGTGGAAGATATATAAAGATTTAAGAAATCATTGTTTTACACATGCTGTTACATATCCCTAAATTTTGGTACCATATTTATCAATCAAATGTTCACCAAGACATGTTCCGTTAAATAATTGTAATGGCAGACAATACAACTTTAGAAGACAGTTACATGTAGCCCTCTCCAATATTTTTAACCTGATCCCCCCCCCCCCAAAAAAAAAAAAACACACACACAGAGGTAATAAATGAATACAAAACACACCTCGATGAATGTTATCTATAAGTAAGGCAAATTTCACATCACTTTTTTTGTAGTTAATGTGCATCCTGAGATCAATATCCATGCTAGTTTGGTTTAAGTAGGATTTACAGTTACTTGGGAATGGACCTGCCCCATAATCTTTAACCTGTTCACTCATTCAAAAGATGTAGGCTCCATAATCTTTAATCTGTTCACTCATTCAGAAGATGTAGGTCAGTTCAAACATAGGCTTCGATAGCAAATTGAAAGGGGGGGGGGCAAACCAACAAAAACATTTGGGGGGCTAAATCCTAATTTTCAATGCCTATATTATGTCTATCTTTGCAAAAAAAGTGAGGGGGCCCCAGCCCCCGGTTCCGACGCTTATATCTAGCATCATTTCAGAAAATCTGCTAGTGTCCATCCTTAAATGCATCATCCATACAAGTTTGGTTTAGGCAGGACTTATAGTAACTTGGGAATGGACCTGCTCCAAAAACTTTAACTTGGTCACTCGTCTTGAAAATGTAGGTCAGATCCAGCTTCCGAAACAAGTCTGGTAGTGTCCATCCCCAGATAATTCATCCATGCAAGTTTGATCCAAGTAGGGCTTATAATTACTGTGGAATGGACTTGCTCCTGAAACTTTAACCGGGATGCCAACGCCGGGGGTAAAGTATAAGCTCATCTCGACTTCATCAAGGTGAGCTAAAAATGGAAAAGGCTACATTATTGCAGCTAAGTTGCATAATTTCAGTCTCTTCTAATACTGTGACCTTGATCCTTGAGAATGATTGCAATACCCTAAACTTTTCATGCATTGAAACCAAGGGTTTCAAAATTACATGGATGTGAGTTTTGTCATGATGTCAACATCAGTGCCAGGGGAATTGACCTTTTTTAATAAGACCTTCGACTTTGAGTCAAGATCATAAAACACTTATAGTTATGGGCAGAAATGCACATATACTTATTTCTTTTCATGCCATTCAAATGTTCCCAAGTTATAACCAGTTTTCAGACATTATATACCTATATGACCTCAATTTATGATCGTGAAAAACACAGGGAAAAGGGCCAAACTACAGTCATTCAGACACATTTTTGTTCACAGAATACAGATAATTAAGGCCAAATCAGTTTCTCTCCTCCGTGGATGAAAGACAATGTCAATCATAATATGCAGACAATAAGAAGAAGGGCGAACAAGGCGAGCGCAATGCCCATAGTGCGACAAACATGATTGATTGATTGTATGTTGTTTTACGTCCCATTCGAGAATTTTTCTCTCAAATAGAGACGTCACCGTATGTCGGTGAAAAGCTTCAAATTTAGACCTATACTCGACACTCAGGGCCATTGAGTAGTGAGGGTTCTTTATCGTACCAACGCCTACCATGACACGGATCCTAGGTTTTTAAGGTCTCATCCGAAAGACCTGTGACTTTCACTTATAGTTCGGGGCGTTTGGCGAAGGAACAGTCACTATCTATATTTACGTTATGTTTACGAACCCGGGCCTCCCGATCACGAAGCGAGCGCCCTACCACTAGGCTACCGTGAACAGTGCGACAAACATGAAGGTAAAAATTAAATCTCAATTATAGCAAAATTTTCTTTGACATTTCATCTAACATTAAAGTACATTTTATGTAAAATATCCACAATTTGCAAAAATCTATACAAATCTTAAAATTATTTGCTTATGAAATAGCATGCACACACTAAAGAGGGCAAAACGTATCAATTTCTCATACTTTAAAACACATTTTCGATATGAGTGGTCTTCGCACTGGCGGATTTAAGGGGGCGTGGGGGGCGCACTCCCCCCCTTAAAATTTTCAAAGTATGACATGACTAATATTAATAATGCCATACTTTGGTTTTATAATTGATGGTCCATTAAAAAATGGTAATTTTATTTAATGACCAAGTATCGGTTTTCTTAAAAATCTTGCATTCCCTAGGCTATGAATATTATCTCATAATTATTCAAACCGGAAAACGTCTCCCGATTTCGTTTGAAGGGTAGACTGCACTTGTCAATTTCCTATCATGATGCAAGGAAAAATACTGCAATATTTAAAGGCTGGTCGAAGGTAAGTAAATAAATTTAAAATCAGACGGTCTACGTTAGCGCGCTTCATGAAATATGCCTACGTGACAAGTCTGTGTGATTTACACACCAATAACTCACACAAAACTTAAAAACATTCCTTAATTATAGTGTACACACATCTATTTTATGCAGAAAGAAAATGCATTTTTCATATACAAATCAATGTCGATAATAATAGGCGAAATTTATTTCTTCACTGGAAAATTACATCCAAGAAGAAACTTTATCGCCCCAAAAATGACGGACGAGTATTTTTAAACCATTGTGGGGAATTATCAGTTTATCACCTCTGAAAATATCTTGTATATATAGTAAGACACAGTGGATATTTCTGGCGTGAAATTTATCAACTATGTTTAATTTTGCAACTTAAATTCATACCTTTTTAATTTATAGTATTTAGTTTTTAAAAATAAAATGCAAATCAGCTGAACAGAAATCGGCCGAAGTTACCCATGCATGAATACGGCGTCAGTGGGTAACTCAGTTCGACCAATGAAAATGACGCAATGCTATTTGTTACCAGAAAAAGATCATGACCACCGTCCGTATAAAAAAAATTATTAGGATAGGTATTATGTACAAGAATACTCCGTAGAAACTAGTTCTATTACAGTGAAAAAATCATCTGTTTAGTTTACATGCGGTTTAGATCCTTGCGCATATATATACATTTGTAGTATGCCTTGACAACTCGGTAAATCAGTCTCTAGGCACCTGGTGCACTTAATGTCTTCAAATTAGGTACATTTTGAAAATTACTTTTTTATGAGCATTTTTTCACAATCTTTTATGTTTTACAACAGAATAATTTAAATTAATATATATATATATATTAAATTAGAGATGACTCGAATAATTTCGTTTATATTTGCACATCGATCGAAAATACACCGTGTGCGGTCGAAGTTACCCAACACACATATCTTGTAAATCGAACACATTTATTTTATATCAAGACGAATAATACATATAATACAATGTAATCTGACCAATAAAAGGTATTCCGAAGGAAAAAGGATCCAGTAAAAGTTGAGCGTAATATATGTAATAGGCAGTGACATACTTGATTGCATTGAATTC